TGTACTAGGGATCACACCAGCGTTGGCCATATGCAAGGCAAGTATCTTAACCACTGTACTGTTCTGTGCCTCAGCATCCACTTTGTTTTGTTTTTGACCTTCCAGGCAATAGTCAGGGGTTCCAGAAACCACCGGCAGGGACCCATGGTCAGCCAGACAGGAAAGGTTGATGTTCAACCCCAAGGAGCAGCTTAGGCCTATTGGTGTTCCAGGAACCATAGGGTGCCAAGAATCAAGCCAAGATGCCACGCATGCAAAGCTTGTGCCCAGGTGCCAGTGCTATCTCCTGGGCCCCATCCTTTTGTTTTTAATTTGGAATAGTAATAGTTCTCACCACACAGCTATTGCAAGACTTAAATGCTTGCAGATATTTTAAACAGCTTAGATAGGGACTGTCACAAAGCAGTAGTAGTTCAATAATGCTACTTGTTATCATTCTTTTTCTCTCCCTCTAATGCCTGTTCCTAGGCCACTAACTCAGAATTCCTAGGGGCCAATCAGATAGTGAGGACTGATTGATTGTGGTACCAGGGATGAACATGATACGTTCTAGGTTGATCTGCATTCCTGGCACCATCATCCTCACCACTCATTCTGCAGAACAGAGAGCAGATGGATAAACCTGACCCCATTTTAGGTCATCATGTGGCAGCTTCAGCAGAACTTGAAGTTACAGTTTCTTTTTTATACCATAGTCTGACATATTTCTGTCAAATATGGTGAGGAGTAATTAGAAAAGGAAATGAGATTAATATAAGCATGAACAGGAATAAATGTTGCTAGAGCATTAAACCTGAGAAATTATGTGTTTAGAAAGTAAAGTACTGCAAGTACTAATGTGAGATTTTAAGAATGCTTTTAAGAAAACTGAACTGGTAACTGGAGAACATTCTGCATACAAGGAAAATAAAGACATTCAAATCTGGAATACTTACAAATTTAGGGAATATTTATTTATGCTTTAGGATAGGCAAGAAGACAAGATAGAAAAGGGGTGAAAGTAAGATGATTTAAATCAACAATGAATGTAAGTATCAAAAGAAAAGGATGAATCTTGAACTTTATCTAAGTTAACTGAGAACTGACATTATTAAAGCTTTTATTCATCGCTCTTAATATGTATAAAGCACTATTCTACTTCAAATTGGTGCTTCATCTTCATAAAAATATCTGAAAATAGCTATTATTAATTTCATAATACAGCTAAGGAAGTGGAATCACAGAGAAGCCAAATAATTGGCCCAGTGCCATTTGCTTACCAGTAGCACTTTAGATTTGCACTAAGCCACCTGGCCCTTTAGACTCTATTCTCTTAAATACTCTGAGCAGCTCCATGGAAACCAAAGCTCTGATGCAAATGTGATCTTGAACCTAGCCTTTGGCGCAGCCCTTTTAAGAGGCTGGAACTGTGGCATCATTACTCAAGTATGCCATCACTCAGGACTGAACCGGGAGATTTCATATTTAAATCCCACTCAGGTTTCAGGAGGCAGGTTCTGTTCACTATATGTACCTTTCTAGTAAGTTTTGTCCCTACACGTTATGATTATGTTTATCTTAAGTTTTGGTCCTAAGAAAGTACTCTTGTTTTATTTTCACATGATGTTAACAGGTAACTCTTGATGTTGATATGTCTGTGTTGACGTGTTCATTAATTTAGAGTCATTCACTAAACAAGTTTTAAAAAGTCTCTGTGTTAGATATTAGTAATACCTTGGAAGAAAGAAATTTCTTCTTTACAGAATCTCTATGGATTTTTTATTATATATTTTTTCTAGTTAGCATATAAAGTACCATTAACTCTCCCAACTTAAAAATGGAAAAAAAAAAAGAAAGAAACCTCTGTTGACTCTACATCTCTTTCCAGATACTAACCCATAAATATATATGTGTGTGTATATGTATATATACACACATATATATATTATTTATTTTACCATAAAGACCTAGGAAGATGGTCTGTTCTTAAAGCTGTCTGCACTTTATTTTCTCTTTAGGACAGACACCAACCAAACATTCTGCACCAGACCTTACCAGCTGCTGACTCAGATTATATCACCTACCTGCTAAGAGTCCATTCAGATATCTGTTAAGCACCTCAAACCTCCAAAGCTGAACTCTTAATCTTCCTGCCCAAGCTTGTTCTGCTGATACTCTTTCCCATTTCTTTTAAATGATTACTCCATCCTGATTACTCAGACCAAAATTATTGGCTTCATGATTGACATCTCTCTTGATCTTCTTTCCATCAGCAAATCCTTTTGGTTTCACCAGGAAAGTCTATCCAATATTGAGCGGTTTTTCTCATCTTTATTTTTTTTTGTTTGTTTTTGGGAGTCAAACCCGGTAATACTCCTGGCTCTGCACTGAAGAATCACTCCTGGCAGTGCTCCGGGGACCATCTGGGATTCTTGGGATCGAACCTGGGTCAGCCGCATGCAAGGCAAACACCCTCCCCACTGTACTACCACTCCAACCCATTTGTCTCATCTTTAATCTCATAGCACCAGTCTTTTTCACATCCATCTCATGTTCTATTGGTCTTTCTACTTTACACCTTTAACACTGTTCACTGTCAACAGAGCAACAAAAGTAATTGTTTTAAAACTTTTTATTAATCTGTTTTTGGTGGTCTCCCCCAAAGTGCCTAGGATACCAGGAACTACCCTGACAGTGCTCAGGCCAAGTGATGCTGGCAGCCATTGATTATACAACTGGTGGTACTCAGGAGGACATTCAGTTCTAGGAGTCAAACTCAGGGCTTTGTGCATGTCAGGCCTGCACTGCAAAGTCATTAAGACATCAGCTAAAACATGCCCCTTTAACAATATGTCTAAGAATTTAAAAATTCAGCATGCAACAATATGACTGATTCTCATATGTATAATGGGTGAAAATAAGAAACAAAAACATTCATACCATAAAATAGAATTACCTTCAAAAATACCAACTAGATAAAACAAAGTATGCTGTTAGAAGTTATGATGGTGATTGAGCAGGCAGAGAGGAGGGCTTCTGCAAGTTTGTCACTTCTATTTTTTGATCTGGGTAGTGGTTGCTTATCACTATCCAGCTGATGAAATTTTAACAGAGTACACACTTAAACCTTTTCTACATTTTATGCTTCAGCTACAAGTCTTATAAAATTGTTTGTACTAAATATCATTCTCTCCTACACTTAGAAACAGAATTTGTAGTAATGTAAATAACTACAATTCCATTTGTAATAATTACAATTACCATTGTAATGTAAGCTCCATGTAGGCAGAAATCTTGTCTGCTTTCATCCATTCAACAAATAACTTTTGTTTAGCAGGCACTGATCAGGACCTTTGAGAAATGAGTATGACAGACAGACACTGAGCTTCTCAGGGGTGGTATGCCAGAAGAAACTATATGACATATAATGTCAAAAGGGCTTTGTGGGGGAAGAAGGAAAGCGAGAGACAGGGAGCGCGGGAGTGAGGGGTGACACAGCCTAAGCCTAGAGTTCAGGAAAGACTTCTCTGAGATGTGATTATCTGGGAAAAGGAGGCAGAGCTTTGAAAAGCAAAAGGCCAGAGGCATCCACAAGCTGGGTGTGCATAACAAGATCAAGAAACCAGGACCAGAGAGGGGTCAGAACAGACTAGACAGGGACAAGGGCAGGAAAGAACCAGGGTGGAATCACCAATAGCTTTTTAGCTTTATTCTTCATGAGACAAGGTATGAATAGTGGAGTGAATTTTTTTTTTCCCTTTATTTTATTTTATTTTTTTTAAAGTTGTAGATTTACAATTTTTTGTGCTTTGGTTTCAATTATACAATGATCAGATACCCATCCCTCCACCAGTGCCCATTTTCCACCACCATGGATAATATCCCTCCCACCCCCATCCCCCCATCCCCCCTGTCTCTGTGGCAGGGCAATCCCCTGTGTTCTCTCTCTCCTTTTGGGTGTTGTGGTCTGCAAAAGAGGCATTGAGTGGCAAACATGTTCAGTCCATAGTCTACTTTCGACATGCATCTCCCCTCCTGGGAGGATCCTAGTGGAGTGAATTTTTTACCTAAATTGCTTTGTTTTCAACTGTTTGAAATCAGGTTGTTCATTTGCATTTCTATAAACACACTTCTTTTTTTTTAAAATACTTTCCAGGTTGGGACTTATGCTAAGTTCTATGAAAATACTATAGTGCACACTTTCTAATAAACCATGCATTTAAAATATACCAATATTAAAGAAGTTAGACAAGATCTATCAATTCTTTGAGTAACTTTTGACCTAGTTGTTAAATTAAAGTCAGAAATTTCTCAAGTCTACGTTAGGATATATCTGGAAAATATGTGGGACAAAGATTGCTTGCCTTTGAGAATCTTAGAGTATAGCTGGAAGTAAGATATATGAAATAAAAACTAGTAAGAACATATGGAGCAATAGCACAGTGGGTAGGGCGTTTGCCTTGCACGCGGCAGACCCGGGTTCAATTCCCAGCATCCCATATGGTCCCCCGAGCACCTTCACGAGTAACTCCTGAATGCAGAACCAGGAGTAACCCCTGTGCAATACCGGGTGTGACCCCCCAAAAAAGAACACATGTAATGAATTGCCAATTAATTAATAGTCTACATAGTTTGTCTCTTAATCTTTCTAAGTGAGCGAGGTCATTTTAGACAGCACTGATGTAAGATTTCACAGAGAGGTGGGAATGAATTAGAGGCTGAAAGCATATATCAGATTTGGAAAAGCAGATACAGACTATAGACATCTAGGCAAGAATGCCAGTCTGATTTGAAGGGGGCTTGAGTGGTCATTCAAAGGAAGAGAAGGGTTTAATGCTCATTATCAAATCTAGTATAGATTTGAATGGATGTATTTCTAAATGAAGTAAATAACTGTATTCTAATCTGGAAATAGTTATATATTCCACATTGCTCATTTTGATATATTAATGTCACATTTATAGTTACTAAACCTCCAAGCCCATAAAGTCAAAATGATTTAAATATGTATGTATTTTTAGACCAGTGAAGAAAACCCACCCAGTGTGATGGGAGCAAGCCCTGAAACAGAAAACAAGGCAGGCCAGAGCCTGGAAAACAACACGTCAATGACCGAACTCCTGAGCGACGTACCCTTCACCTTGGCCCCGCACGTGCTGGCTGTGCAGGACAGCATCAGTGACCTTCCTGACCACTTGCTCTCCTCCAATGTCAGTGAGAATCTATCACGCTTTTGGTATGACTTCACGCTCGAAAATTCAGTGCTCTTTGATTCATAATCTGTATGTCTGTTTATACCTTGACAGCTTTAAAATGATTCTCCCCGTGTTCCTTGCCATTTCATTAAAGTCCTCAGAAAGCATATTTCTATTAACAATGGACTTAAATCCTACTTTGTTAACCTTCCTTCCAATTATATGAAAATTAGACTCTCAAGGCTTTGTGGTAGGATAAGATTCCTTCAACTGGTCTTTTGAAATATAACGCATTGAACTTCTCTTAAGGAACTGTGAAAAAGAACTGTGGCATTTTTCTTATTTACAACTCTGATGCCTGTGCCTAGAATAAGTGTGAAATCTGGTTTGCAGGGAACTTGAATTATATTACTCCCTTTCTCCTTCCACAGTGTTACACGTGGACTCAGAAAAATATTGGCCAGTTAGCTTGATTTCTTCAGCCCTGATTTAGACACTGATGTGGAAGTATAAAAATTTTCCTAAAAGCAGTGGTAGTTTGCTGTTACAAGGTTACTGCAACTGTTCTGGGTGCTGCTTGTGACACATTTCAGTTTCCCCAACCCCTGGCAATCCTTCCCCCCTTAAATAAATTATTCCCATCTTGAATGATGCTCTAGCCCTTGTTGCTGCCTCTGAGTGTGCTCCTGCCAACTTTCCAAAGAACTTTTTCTGCCTTAGTGGGCATTTATTCTCCTTAGTGACATTATCTCTAGTTTACAGAGAGACCCACACTTACATTTCCCCTCTGTTTCCTAAAGAAAATCATCTCATCAGAATATGTCTTTGCAGAGAACACCATTATCTAGATTTGTGATGGCCAGAATAAAGATAAAATGTATTATTGCTAGAGAAACTGAAATTGGCTCATTTACAGTTAGTGTGGAGGGAAAATACCTAGTCTTGTTTTTTAGCTGTTCATTATTTATCTCAATAAAAACAAACTGCCATTAGTTAGTAAACTAGTAAAGAAGAAATTATGATAGAATATTTTATATGTTGTGGGGAATTTCAATTATATTTATTTTGATTAATAGTGGTATGACCTATTAATTCTGTGCCAAATTTTAAATATAATTTTCATAGAGTGACATAGAAAAACTGAACACTACAGAAAGGTATATGATTGATCCAATTTTTAATGTGTTGTACATGTTTAATAAATTGCTATATTGTTTAAAAAATTGAGAACTTTTATATTGACAAAAATATGCTTTATTTAAAAAAGAATGGTATTTTAGGAGGTGAACAATTAGCTTCAGTCTTTAGATAACCATCATAAAATATCATCTAGAAAACATAACTTTATTAAAGCAAATGTGAACATTTTATATAAGATGTTGTGAAAACCTTAATGCCATATTACTCTCCCCCAGCTTTCTGTAATATAGTTAAACATTTCATTTATATTTATGCCTGCCAAGTTATAAGTATGCACTTATAATATTTTTGTTTGTCTACCAGAAATTGCTATATTTAAATATATGTAAATTAAATAAACTGATATTTTGATTAATTTCAGATCAAAACATTGGGTTTTTTGTATTATTCATATCTGAAGGCAATTTATGATTCTTTGGGAAGTAAAGGTTGAGCATATAGTTTGCAGAGAGCTCTGGGAAATTTATGAAATGTTCTCTAACATATAAGTTTTAAGAAATAACCATGGAAAATGGTTGTATCACCAGTCCTGGTTTAATAGGACTTGAGAAATGTGAGAGAAAGCACATGAACATCTCTATATAAACCCACTGTCACAAGACTTAGAAAGTGACAATATTATGATTAGTTCTAACATACAACACTGAAAAAGGCCACTTTAATATAGTAATCATGTATATAAATTCACGTTACTTTTTTTTTAATGGAACATTGGCATCCAAGCAGCCAAATCCATTATACCCAATATAAAAACATAGGTTAAATGACTTAGGTGACCTAGTGATAACTGAATGTTCATATTACTACCCCCAAAACACAAAAATACTCATTCAAGAGGATATATTCACCTTTTCTCATCACAGTGCTAGTACAACAGCCAAGATATGGAATCAACTCATGTATTCAATGACAGATGATGGATAATGACAGTGGGATGTGTATATAGAAATAGGAATACTATGTAGCTGCAAAGAAGAAATCATTCAGTTCTCTGCAACTTGAATGGAACTGGAGAAGATCATGTTAAGTGAAATAGATCAGAAGAGGAAGTACAAATGCTGGATGTTCTCACTTATTTATGATATATAGAATAATAATGACAAAGGAATGGAAGGTATCAAAGGTAGGCAAATCCTTGATTCTAGAGTGAGAAAGGCACTGGAGGAGTAAAAAGAGGCACACAGTAGATAACAGGGGCAAGGATGAGAGGCCTTGAACACATCAGTCATATAGAGGCAAGGTATCTGCATGTATCTGTAGTATAAGCCAACCCCACTGTGAGTATTAGAGCCAAACCATGGTAATTAAACTTAAAAATGGGCCTGTGAAGGAAGCAGGCTAGGGAGTTGAAAAAAGTTGAGCCTAGTGGTGGAACTTTTTACGCCTGAAACACTTATGTAAGTCATTGTGCTTACACCAAACTAATTTTTTAAGTTTTACTTTAATAATAAGTTATAACAAAGATCTATGCTGTGATAGGAAAAAAACGCAGTCATTAAAAGCTGTCAGACAATTTGCCATGGTTCCCTCAGTTATAGGCTGTGAGGCTTTGAGTCAGTCCCCTAACATCTGGTGTTCCCAGTTCCCTTGCAGGTTAATTAAATGGCCACTGTAAGAGCATTGGCAGGTTTGGTTATAGATAGTATGAGTTCAGTGCTTGACAGCATGAAACCATAGATGTTCTAGGAAAGAGCTGTTAGACTAATGGAATGCAAAATACATATTGACTAAACTGTATGAAGAGTAATAGGAAGACGGTTACCTATATTTGCTATCTATAATGGTAGCCCTCCTATAGCTCATTTTCATAGTAAATATCTCAATATTTATTGTGAAATATTAATATATTTATATATAATTTATATATAAACATATAAATTATATATAAATATTAATATATTAATATCAATATATCAAGTCTGGCAAACTTACCGTGTCGTACTCAAAATATGCCAAATACCAGTAACAACGATGGGTCTCATTCTGATAACCCTGAAAGAGCATTGAAATGGCTCTTTTAAAATCTCAGAGATAGGAAGAAGGAGACATTACTGGTGCCTGTTCAAGGAAATCGACGAACAACAGGATGATCATGATCATGATTGTGATCTCAATATAAAAATGTTTATATAAATACTTATATAAAAATATAAAGGGCCAGAGTGATAGTTCAGTGGTAGAATGCCTGCCTTGCACAGTCTACAATTCCCTGCATCCCATATGGCACCCAGAGCACTGCCAGGAGTAATTCCTTCCTTAATACCTAAGCACTGCTGGGTGTGGCCCAAAAGAAAAAAATCCTAAAATAAGTGAGTTGACTCTTCTATAATTAAGATTTCCATACAGATTTTTTTCTCTTATCATCATGGTTCTTTTACCTTTGTACCAATTATCACTGAAGTACTACCGATATAGGACATGCAAGTTATTTTACTGAATTTTAATTTTAACCCTAAAATATATTCGGGAAGTTGCGTGTATTTTTTTAACTGCCTTTAATGGCAGATATTGAGGTTTTTTTTTTCATTCTCTCCTCATTCTGGAAGTATACATACAATTCTGAAAAAAGTCATTACTCTGACTAAATTTTCATTAGCTGAACTTTTAAGATTGTATCATTTAACGTTAATAATAGCACATTTCTTGTTAACTATTTGAATAACCTGCTATAGTTTTTTTTAAAATAAACCTTGACATCAAGACCATTTTTCCCTCTCAAAATTGAAATTTCAATTTTATTATTTCAGTTTGAAAATAGAAATTTCTACAATTTTCAGAGATCCTATTTCTAAGGAACCTAGACATAGTATTAGATCTTAATTCCAAGGAGCAGGTGTGAAGGAGCAAAGAAATAGCCTCACCTGTCTTCTGAAAGAATGAAGGTACAACCAACCTTACCTCATAATAACAGCTATCAGAAAATAAATGAATATTACCCTCAGTAACCTAGCAAAGAATATGTTACTCCCAGATGAATGCATTGTCTTAGGTTAAAGATGTTGGGGACTATTGATTTGTGAGCCCTTTTGGACATTTGTGTCATTTAACTGATATAATGACTTAAATATTATTGGTAAATATCAAACTTTCAGATTATGCCTCACTCCATTCACACTACATTAGTTTGAAAGATGGAGTATGTGCAATAAAATGACTGACACGTGGTTTATTAGATAGGTTGAGGTGAGAAAGTAAGACTATATGTATGGATTGATGCATAAAAACTATTCAGTCAGAATAAGAATGTTTTATTTTTTAAAAAGTACATAAACTTGTGATTTTAGAATAGTTTCAGAATTTCACTGAAGTTCGAAAAACAGGACAAAGTTCTCGTATATCATCTTAAACCAATTCCCTTTATTGTTAACTTCTGACATTGCTGATGTACCTTTGCCAAACTAAGAAACCAGACACTGATGCTTTTAACTAAAACTCACACTCTGTTCGGATCTAGGTTGATCCCTCATGTCCTCTTTCTTATCTAATATCCTATCCTGCATAGCACATTACACTTACTCCTGTCTTCTTACACTTTTCAGCTGCAACAATTTCTTGACTCTTCTCTTTTTTTGTTGGTCATGACCGTTCTATGAAGTACTGGTCAGATATTTTATAGAATGTTCCATAATTAGGATCCATCTAATATGTTCATTTGGAATTACTAGCAATATGAGTTTGGGGAGAAAGATTTTAGAGGTGAAATGACTTTCACTGAGGCCATCTATCAGGGATACATACTATCAACATGAGATACAATGCCTGATGTTGACCTTTATCACCTGGCAAGGTACAGTTTGCCAGTTTTCCCCTAATAAACCAGTTTTTGCTGCTGTCCCCCTTTGGGTATTCTACTCTTTGAAATTAAATCACAAAGCATAGCCCACGCTGAAGAATTCAACTCCACTCTTCTTGAGGAGTAAATAGTAAAATTAAATTATTATGTGAGAGCTATATTTTTTCCTGTGTATCATTTACTTATTTATTATCAGGACTCGTAAATATCCCATCTTTCCCCCACGTTAAAATTAATAATGACCAAGAGAGTTTTAAAGAATTTTGTAAAACTTAGGGCTCAAGTTTGGTACTCGGCATCCTATTTGGTCTCCTGAGCTCTGCCAGAAGGGATCCCGGAGGGCAAAGCCAGGAGTAAACCCTAAAGACTGCTAGGTGTGGACCAAAAACGACAGCAGCAAAAATTTATTAAAGTTAACATAATGCAGCACAACACAGAATAATTGAGTTTTTCAATCAGGATTGTGAAAGTAAAGTTAGACTGTAGTAATTTTCCTCATTAAAGTACTAACTCATTGTATCATTATACATGATAAATCTTTACAATACAATGATACTTTCCTTAGAAATAACAAAAGCTGGAAAAAAATAACAAAAGCTGGGGCTGGAGAGATAGCACAGCAGGCAGGGCGTTTGCCTTGCATGCTGCTGACCCAGGTTCAATTCCCAGCATCCCATATGGTCCCCTGAGCACTGCTAGGAGTAAATCCTGAGTGCAGAGCCAGTGCATCGTGGGGTGTGACCCAGAAAGAAAAAAAAAGAAAAGAAATAACAAAAGTTCCTTCCATCTAAAGAAAGAAATGTTTCATTTATGACCTTTAAGAAGTGGTTTTAAGTAGAAGCAAAACTTAGTTTTTCAGAAGAAAGAGGTTCCCCAAAAGCTCTAATTTTGATATCTGACTAATCAGAATTTGCTGTGTTCTCAAACCTAAGGTGATCTCGCTTCATTTCAGTCAGGGGAAAAAATTAATCAGAGAAAATGGTACAAAACTTATTTTGTCCTTGTAAGAAACTTCAATATAATTCTTTGGCATGAATGTACCCAGTTCCTATTTTCTTTTTATTAGCAGAGTTTGGGATAGAGAAGGTTGGGGGCCACACTCAGCTATGCTTAGGCTTGCTCCTGGATCTGTGCTCAGGGATTACTCCCGGCAGTGCTTGAGGGACCATATGGAGTACCAAGTATCAAATCCAGGTCAGCTGCATGCAAAGCAAGCTCCCTACTCACTGTACTATCAGTCTGGTACCCCAGTTCCAATTTTCAGCCCCACAAAGAAAATTAATTTATCACAACCAAAGGTAAGGGAAAGGATAATTGCATCCAGAATAAACACATCAGTAGGCTAATTCTGAACCAGCTCTGAAAACAGTGTATTAATTACGTACTACCCAGGCAAAGGAGGGAGCCAGACAATAAGCCATTTCAGAGGTCAGTTAAGGAGAAGCCTCCCACTTAGGACTTCTGCCATGGACATGCAGACCAGCATCTGACATCTGGGTGCTGTGTTTGCTACTGTGTCTGCACAGGTGTTTGCTATAACTCAGAGACAAGCAAGAAAGAAGAAGGTAATAACAC